TGTAACACATCTCATATCCCACACAACTCAATTCTCTTCTCTTTCTTTCTTACTTGTAGTTTCGGTTTTCTTTTAAGTTTTTTATAGTTTTCTTGTATTTTGGATAGAGTGACAGACTAGTCCAAGAACCAATACAATCTTGTTTTCTTTAAAGCATTCTTTTAATACAAGTTCTCTTACTTTCATTTAAGATCTCACAAGCATTCTTTCTTTTTAAGTTTCAGTTCACAAATCTTGTTGCAATATTTCTTTTATGCTTTCTTTATTTTCAGCAATCATTCAATCTTTACAAAAGCATTCTGTTTTCTTTAGTTCTTGTTATATTTGGCCATCATTGAAACTACCAAGGAACAATTGGATAGTTGTTTCTTGGCCTATACAATTACTCTTTATACTTTCTTTAATTTTCATCTGCAATCAATCAATCTTTGCCATTCGTTTAGATATAAAGCTAACAGATTATCAATTTTGGTACTTGGTTTCACACCCAACAATTAAATTATATAATCCTCGTGGAAATGATACTCTACTCACTCACTACTATTGTTTGATGCAATCTATGCACTTGCAAGCGAAATAAAAAGCAGCAATCACTGACATGTCAGGCCAACCTGAAATCCGGAGGTCCACGTCAACTCAACCACCTTTACAACCTACGAGCTAGTGCTCCAGGATGTTGACTTGTCATGTCCTGAATGGATAGTCAACTATTAACTCAAATTGCTATTCAGGCTCCAAGAAAGACCTGCAATCAGGTATAATGTTACAAGTGGTTGTTTTAAACATATAAAAAATGTTCAGTAAGTTCCATGTTCAACTACTAGAAAAATTTTCAATGTGAAAGCACCTTAAAAAGGCTAAAAGCATAATGTAGCCTCTCAATATAAATTTCAAAACCCTAAGATTGAACGATTGCATTTCTCAAGAATGGTTTTTCCCCATGGTTTTGTTTCTTAAACCAATATCCAGAATCCTCTCCATGGTCCTGAAAATATCTTTTTCCTTGTTTTCTTTTCTCTTATGCTTTTTACCACATTTTCATAAAGCAGTTTCATTTGAAAGCATTTGCAATCAAGATTACAAGACAGGGATACCTGTGTGGTAGAGTGTGCAACACCATCCCATTTGTTGTATGCCCCCCTGCTATTCTCTGTCCACACCCCAAAATCCATACTACGATAGTGATGAAAATTTGTCAAATCCATGTATCCCAGCATCCAAGGATAGAGAAAATAAGATATCAAAAGCTAAAAGCTCACCCTACAACAAAGAATGCATAGCCATCCAGATGGTAGTTCTGAACTGTGGTGTCATTGTTCTGAAAGATTATTTCCATAAAACTTTTGAAATTGCCATTAATTAGAGATGTGTTGACATTGGGAGGTCTGTTCACCAGTCTATTTGGAAAATCAAGCTTGTGGACCATGAGCAAGCTTTATAGGTGTTGAAGGTGGTAAGTATGAAATACCATTAATGGTCATACACCGTTTTCCGTCTATAAGCTCTGCAGGCCTATTGAGGATATAACACACATCTGTCACAGAAATTTGGCCATACTTAGAAAGATCCTTGTGGATTTGGACGTGCAGCACGAGCAGAGACATTCCATCTATAAATGCACCAGATAAACAAAGATTTTGTCAGCCTACCATTGATGAGAATTTTAGCTTACAATTCAGCAGTTAAGAAGACCATTTTATCCTGACCATAGTATCTGCCTGGCTGTCAGCATTTAGATAAAGTAATCTTTTCAACTGCTCAACATATAATTTAGTATCCTGACCATAAAGGATAAAGCAATCTTTTCAATTGCGCAACATTTTAAATGAGAGGTCTTTTAAGTATACAATTCTTATAGCAGCTCAAAAAAATTTCTAGTATATGTCAAAATTTGATTAAAAATAGATATAAAATAAACTACAACCTTATCGATCTTGCTTGATTCATTGAGAAATATGTCATAATCATTAGGAGGATCGGGAAGAAGACCTGAAGCAGGTCCCTGAGAGTTGGAATAGTGCAAGATAGCAAGTCCGATAACTTTAGCCCAGTCAGATGAATTAACAAGCCGAGGACTGGCTACAATGTAATAATCATTGCTAGCATTCTAATCCATGGTAACCAAGAATGAGTAAGATTGACCCACATCAATATCCATGTTTGAGTAGTTTTGCTGAACTGTGTATGATCCTTCAGTCTCAACAAGTAGGTTACGGTTTTGAATTCTAAAATTCAAGCTAGTTGAAATTCCAACATTGTGGACCCTGAGGCAGTATATGTTTCCTGTTTCAGATGAAATATAAAGCATCTGGCTATTACTGAGGCACCACAAAAGGGAAGTGGATGGTCTAGTGTTAACCGAGTATTGTAGTCACAATGTAAAATCCAGAAAATTCCAAGTGTATCACATTAATGATTCAAACACAAATGTAGATATTATGGTGTGAAACAATACAAAGCCTCAAGCGGGTATCACAATCCAATCAAGACACAAGGAAACAACCATAGACATGGATATAGAATTTCATAATATTAAATTAAACATTTAACAACAATATAGCATCAATATGCTTAGAAATAAATCTCAGACAACAAGGTACACAAAACAAAAGTTTCTGCACCAAAAAACAAAGAGCCTTCTCATTTCATAAGTTATCTAATTATATTAAGTTGGATCCTCTTCATGTCTGTACAAGTATCAAATACAAGTGTCATGACCGGAAGTCTAACATGACAGGGCATTTTTTCACAGAAAATCAGGTAAAAAATGAACCATTTGTAATTTCTTGATTTCACATTTCAATAAACACAAATCCTTACTACATCGAAACAACCAGAACAGAAGAAACTGGGATTCTGCCTAATATGGAAGTACAAAACAAGAAACGCATCAAAAAAAAATACAAATGCAAAAATCTTATCAATTCATTTCCAAAGCCATGAATAGCAAGATAAACTTTTCTAATGGTTTGAAAATGTAAAGCCATGCTTTATATTTAATGGAACACCCAAGCCTGCCCTCAAAAAATTACCAATGAATTGATACGTATTTTCAGATGTCCAATTTATCGACTATCTGCTATCATCCTTTATGGATAGTGCTGGGAGACAGTGGATTTGTGAGGTGAACTTTTGGAGAGATGAAATCGCCATTTTTTGTGGGGAGGGAAAGAGAGAGAGAGATTGAAAGGAGCTTTAGTTCAGTTCAGAGTTGTTTTTTGAAAGAAGTTTCAGTTCAGTGGGCCGTTAAGAGTTGTTTTTGTTTTCAGCAATTTGGTCCAGTTAATCGGACCTTGTTTTTGCAAACCGGCTTCCCTGCGGTTCGAAAGCCGGCCTAATGTCACGTATCCCTTTTAATTTGAATCAAAGATTTTAATATTTTCTTTCGGGATTTAATTTTTTTTTCAGATTTTTTGTTTGGTTCAAAATTTTTCCCTCACGAAAAGAATTTTACAATTTTGACAGTTTCAAAAAGGAAAAGTAAGGGAATAAAACTCGTCTCCTAAGTTTTTTTTAGATTTCAAAAGAAAAGTAAAATTATTATTTTATTTATCTTTATTTAATTATATTTTTAGATTATATAAACAGCATTATTTATTTTTAAAAAATAAATTTATATGTTATTTTTATTTAATTATTAAAATTTAACAAAAACAATGTTTTAAAAATAAAAAAGCAATTTTTATTGAAAGTATAAAAAAATTTCAAAATTCAACAAAACTATTTTTTAAGATAAAAAATGAGATCTTAATTGAAAATATGAAAAAAAAAATAGAATTCTTTAATTTCAACTGATGTTTTTTAAATTAAAAAAGTGATTTTTGTTAAAAATATAAAAAAATTTATATTACTATAAAATTTTATTATTAAATATATTATTTGTGTAATAAAACTTAAAAACTTTTACTTAAATAATTTAATAAAAATCTTATAGGAATAGTTTATATGTTAAATAAATAAAATTTTAAATGAATCACTTGTTTATTCATATATTACATGTTATTCATGTTTCATCAAAGACAATATAATAAAAAATTTTATTAGATAATTTTACATTCTTTTAATCAAATATAAAAATTTTATATTTTTTAAGATTAATAAAACTCAAGAATCACACATTTTTTTTCAATATTACTTTATTCAAAATCATATTTCCTCTCGAAATTTAAGAATTTACGAAATAAAACCTCTTTATAGACAATATTTTTCCATAAATGTGTTTTTTGTTAAAAAGAAACTAAAAAATTTTCAATTTTATGTAGAGTTTTTAAGTAAAAATGTTTATATATTTTTTTAATTTTGAAAAAAAAATCATCACTAAAATTCAAATTTAAAATCACTTAAAAATTTTATGTTGAGACGAATCGATTTAACAATTGAATTAATTATAACACTGATTATTTTGTAATTTGTAATTAAAAATGATGATAAAAATTAATAATAATAAATTTCATCCCATAAATTAATAGTATGACAAATAAAAGAAAAATCAATTGAAAATGTTATTTATGTAAATTTAGTTAGTGGTCATTAAACAATGAAATACCATTTTTTTATACAAAACACTTGATAAAATTTTTGTAAAAATTATCTACTAATATTAATCCAACAAGATTCTATATTTCTACTAGTGAAGGGCAACAAAGATTCCATACTTTTTACTAACGAAGGAAGTTCAGAAATTTTTGAGTTTTAGATTCAATGTTTACTTTGCCAGGGTTTAATTCAATTTTTTGTTCATTTCCAAGCATTAGTAACATCATATCAATTACTAAAATTTTTACAGTACGGAAGCAAGCAAAAATCACGGGGGTGGGAATTTGAGGCCAGAAGTGCCGAGCACGAAAAGTCATGGGCAGGCAATGTATTAGATTCCAAAGCAGAGAATAAAAGCTAAGAACATTCCCGCGCTGGCAACAGCAAGCTACCTGGCTCTCCTACCTTTCTTATGTCCATATATATGTCACTATTTTCTCAAACTGAAACCACTGGTGGTGATTTTCACAGGAGCAAATAAATATGAAAGAAAATGTGGGCTGTTGCTGTGGAGTACTGCAAACATGTTGCCATCGCCCTGACCCTAAAAAAGACATTATCAAGGGAATTTTTGAGATTAATCACAGCCCTTGGTTCTCTCTCTGTGCCGCTGGACGATCAGTTGCTATTCGGATTTACAGCAGCCATAAAGTGGATCAAAGTAAGTTAAATTTATCCATGCAATAAATTATCAAATATGTTTTGAAGGAAAGATATGAGGTGACGATTATATGGTATACTCTAATAATTAAATTGATAATTTAATACTTAACTAAAATCATTAATCTTATGCAGGCACTGGGAAAGGGTCAGAAAGTGACAACGCATACCTAATCCAGGGGAAAGTGTTAGAAAGAGAAAAGCTTCCAATCATGGAGGGGAAGATGAAGCTGCCAACGAGAATAATCAAATTTGAATTGAAGTTCGAGGTGGAGCGAGGGTTCGGGACTCCGGGGGCTTTTGTTATAGAAAACAGAGACAAGCATGAGTTCTTCCTCAAATCCGCCACTCTTAAGTACAGTATTCCTGATATTGACAAGCGTGAGTTCCGTTTTTACTGTGGTTCCTGGGTGTACCCCCTCCAAAAGACCGGAGTTAGGCGGTTTTTCTTCACAAACCAAGTATGTTAACATATATATCTTCTTTAATTTTTTCTTTTTTTTTTTTCTTTCCTGTCTATAAAATCAATTCTTCGCACTGTTCACAACATTTACAATTCTAAAGAATATTTAGTACTATAATTTTTTACGAAACCAATTAGTACGTACGGTAATTTTGATATTAACTTGAGCAATCACTTGTTTATACATCGTTGCCCTCCTGACAGTTATATCTTCCAAGCAAAACACCTTCCGGCTTAAAAGAATTGAGACAGAAAGAGCTTAAGAAACTGAGAGGAGGGTCCAAAGATGAGAGGAAACCATGGGATCGAGTATATGAATATGATTACTATAATGATCTTGGGGATCCTGACAATGGACGAAAGTATGCTCGGCCGGTTTTGGGAGGTTCTGACCATCCATATCCACGCAGGTTAAAAACAGGCCGCCCCCCTTGCAAGAATGGTATATACTGTATAGCTAGATATAATCCTGTTTGATTATTTCCTGTTGCAATTTTTTTTTTTTTAGGTTGAAGCGTTAAGAAATGAGAAATTATGACAGAAAAGTTTCTTCTTCTTCTTCTTCTCCTTCTTCTTCTTTTTTTTTTTTTTTGAATTTCTTCTTTGGCTTTTGTTGTATTTGTTTTATACAGACCTTTCAGCCGAGTCTCGGCCAGCAAGCTGCTTTCAAATTTATGTTCCACCTGATGAGCGATTGAGCCAAGAGAAACAAGAAGAACTCACAAATAACTTCGTTGATGCTCTTCAGCGATTTCTTAGCCCAAAGACAGATCACCCAAACCGGTGGTATCAAGGAAGTCCCGACCTTATTAAGAAAATTGTACATTTCTTTGTTCCCAGGGATGCATTTTCAACTGGAGATTTTAGGATTCTTCAATCTATCGTAGACTTCTTTAGAAGAAAACCCAAATCATCATCCCATCAAGATACCGACAGTTTAGAACCATTTGATGTCATATTAGACATTTTCTCAGAGAAAGAAGTAAAAGAAATAGATGGTTGGGTCAAGCAGAAGCTGGAAAAGTTGGTACCAAAGGAAATTTTTAATGAAGTTGTTGCTACTTCAACCAAAAGAAACCTTTTGAACTCGCAATTACCTTCAATTATAGCAGGTTAGGTAACCATTAAATTTGATCTTAGTATAGGTAACCATTAAATTTGATCTTAGTATAACTGCATCTCCAGGTTGGAGTTGGACATTCTATTTATTGACTGATGATATTCTTCGTCCTGCTTGTCGTTGTCAGAGGACAAATTCGCATGGGTTAAAGGAAAAGAGTTTGGACGCCAAATGCTTGCAGGAACCAATCCAGTTCGAATCCGGCGCCTTCTCTCTTCCCCCAAAGACAAGGTTTCGTATATATTAGAAGTAATATTTTAGCCCTGGAATAGATTGGCATCTCCAACTTTAAAAAACCTTGCAGGAATTATCACCTGATCTAAGCGGAACAAATCGGTTGCCTGAAGAGGTCCTGAAGAATTCTCATGTTAAAGAGGTGAACAGAGAACAAGTTTTTCAAGATAGCGTATACAGCATATATTTGAATGCAGATTGTAGAGATTTCCTTATAATTATATAGATCTACTTGTTTTTTTAGTTAACTTCCTAAATATATGCCATACATGGCAGGCAATGGAAAAAAAGAGGGCTTACATCTTGGAGCACTATCACTACCTCCTGCCATTTCTAAACATGATAAATGGAAAGGGTGTTTGCGCTTATGCAACTCGAACAATACTAGCAGCGGGTGACGCATTAAAACCAATAGCAATAGAACTTCGCTTGCCTGACCCCAACGGCAGCATGGTCGTTTTTCCCCATCATACGTTCGAATGGGAGCTTGCAAAATTTCACGTTGCAGCAAACGATGCAGCTTACCACCAATTAGTTAGCCATTGGCAAGTAGTAATTAATTTCTTTGCTATATATAATCAAGAAAGGTCCTACAGTCCTACTTTACCGATCAATCGAAATTTCTAGTATTTCTTAAGCATAAAAATTTTAATTTTCAATCATTCCAATAGTTTGAAGCCCGATGTTTTATTTATTTTTTCTCTTTTCCAAACAAGGTTGCATACTCATGCTGTAATTGAGCCATTCATTATTGCCACTAGAAGACAGTTGAGCGTGATGCATCCAATTCATCGGCTATTAGATCCTCATTTCAAAGACACCTTGCATATAAATGCAATTGCTCGAGGCGTTTTCCTCAATGCAGGAGGAATTCTGGAGAAGACCCTTTTTACAGGCGAATTTTCCATGCAGTTGTCTTCTCACTTGTATAAACAATGGAGATTTGAAGACCAAGCCCTTCCAAAAGATCTTGAGAAAAGGTAATTCATGAATCAAACTTCCATTGCTTCATTTGGTAAGTATATATATATGTATATAAGGATAGATGGCGGTAGAATTACCATCAATTAAACATTGGTGACAAATTGCTATCAATTAAACATGGGTGACAAATTGTTATAGAGATTAACGTTCCAAGAAAAATGATTTGAGCTACAGACAGTGGCGGATGCGGAGCCACATTGAAATCAGAGGGGCCATGCACCCCCCCCCCCCCGGCCCCAAAAAAAAAGATTTTCAAACTATATAATTTATAAGTGTTCGTTTTAAAAAATATAAATGACATTTTTAAAAACATAAAAAGTTGTTCTTTGTTATTATAAATATTTAGAATCTTGAAATTTTAAGTTCAAGTTTTATTATACGTGAATTTATTTCAATTTTATGTTAAATTTATTTAGTTATGCTCTAATTTATTGATTAATTTATTATTTGTTTGATTATTTAGTTATGTAATACTTAATTATAATTTGTATTTGTAATTTTGAAAAAAAAATTTTAAGACCAAAAAATTTCAATTCTCAAATTTCAAATAATTTGTAAAAAGTATTAATATTATAGTTTAATTCTCATTAAAAAATTAAAAAAATAAATGTATTTGTTAAAAAGTTTTTTTTTATTTCAATACTTGAATTTTTTATATATATTATTTATGGTTACATTATGGAATTTCACTTTAAAATTTTTATAACTTTTGATAAAATAATAACATATTATATATTAAGTTAAATTTTTTAAATTACTGTTGTTATTTAGTTTAGCCCCTAACTTAAAATTCTTAATTCGTCACTGGCTACAGAATTTACCAAAAGAGATTATTTGATCTTTGAAGAGTGTTTATGTGATTTGTTTTTCATCATTGATCAATGTGGTAAGTAGTAGAACTCATTTCACTCGATTTAATGATGACAATAACTTTTCAGAGGTATGGCAGTACAAAGTTTCAGAGATAAGAATGTCTCGGGAATAAAGGAGAAGCCAGCAGAAAAGAAACCGGAGAAAATAGATGACACTCAGGTAGAGAGAGACGAAAGTCTGGAAGAAATAGACGAGAATGTGGTAGAATTAGACGAGAATCCAGCAACAGATGAGGCTGCGGATGAAGAGGTGAAGTTTCGTACTGGGGTGACGCTCATTTTAGAAGACTATCCCTATGCTAAGGATGGAATTGAGATATGGCATGCCATTGAGACGTGGGTGAGAGAATATTGCAAAATTTTTTATGATGAGAACGATGATGCTATCAAGGAAGATGAGGAAATCAAAGAATGGTGGACCGAAATTAGAGCCGTAGGCCATGGTGATCAGAAGGAAGGGTGGTATGACCTTAAAACTAGTGAAAACCTCGTAAAGGCTCTAACAACTCTCATATGGATTACTTCAGGTATGCATGCTGCAGTGAACTTTGGGCAATATGCATATGCCGGTTGGCCTCCGAACCGTCCCATGCTATTGAGGAAGTTCATTCCAAAGGAAGGGACAAAAGAATATGTTGAGCTGACGCATAATCCTGATAAGTTCATTGTCGAGATGCTGCCTGAGAAGTTTCAAATGTCATTTGTTATAGCAGTGATGGACCTTCTCTCACGCCACACGTCTGATGAGGTATACTTGGGTCAAAGGCCACCAAAAAATGAGTGGGAAGAGAAAGAAGAAGTTACAAAAAAGTTTCAAGAGTTCCGAGAAAAACTTCAACAAATCGAGAGAAATATAATGGAAAGGAATAAACGATATAACCTAATGAACAGGTGGGGATATGCCAAGATTCCCTACAAGCTTTTGTATCCTGATACATCCAAAACAAGGGCTCCCTCCAAGGAGAAGAGCGGACCAGAGAAGATGGATATTACTGGAATGGGAATCCCTAACAGCATATCCATATAGCAGCATATACAATTCTTCATTGCATTGCGAACTCCTTCTCTAAGACAAACTCTAGGTTTAATCAGTTTCATTAAGCATAAACTCTTATTCCAAATTTATTCCATTTACCTTCATCATTAGTATTCACTGTTCAGTTCCATTTAACTTTTTTATTTTTGCTTTTTCAAAGAAATATGTATAATTCTTAACCATACGTATTCACCGTAACTTGTGTCTACATCTACGCATATTTCTCCATTTTTGCTTTTCATAACAAAATCAAGTACGTACAAAACAAACAAACTTATCAAATTTAAGATTTCATCTCGAGTTAAGAGTTTAAGATGTCATCTTGAAAGTCTCGAGCTCAAGTCCTGAAGTAAACAGGAGGAATTTGTTCTCTCCTTAAATTAATTCATTGCTGTGGTCATGGGCATAAGCCACTGGTATGCAATTATAATCTAAAATTAAATTACTAAAGGAAACAAGGAAAAGTAAAAGCTCATGAATTTGTTTCATATAGGTTTCCCTGCCAGGAATCTGCTATAGAAATCCAATGCCTCTCGAGGTTTATATTCTGGGACAGTATGCCCAGCTCCCTAAACCACACCAACAAAAAAAGGTTGAATCAGAAAATAGATACATCAAAACTCGAAATTTGAGAAATTTACAATTTTACAATATTTCTCTATTGATGCATCCTAGTTATTATCCTGCTACATCTATAATATTGACAAAAAAAAAAAAGTCTGCAATGTGGTACCTTTATGGTTAAAAAGGTCAGGTTGTTGTCATAACCTTGTAAATACCTGCAAATTCATTCAAAAAAATTCCTAATTCAATTCTAAAGTGAAAATTGAAATGATTTCAAGTTTGTAGAACACAATAAGAAAGGCATTAGTTTCGGAAAGAAAATTCATCTAATCTATTTGGAAATCTACTAGTAACAGATTCAGGATAAGATAAGATTCCCTTTATCGGCATAATACTTTTACATATGTTAAGGGAAGAAAGGGACTGGAAGTACCCAGCAATTTGTCCATTGGAAGTCCATGGCCTCCATTCATCCACTATCTCATATCCAACTGATCTTGTCCAGGCTTCACTCCCAGTGAATGGAACACACATATCATGATCCCCACTGCCAGAAGAGTTAAAAACATAGCACTTATCAGAGAACAGAAACCCAGTTGACATTCACGAGAATATAACGTAGAGCACTCATTTTTCATGCCACTAAAAGCTGAACTTCATTTCCCTTAATTTCAAGCAAGAAGCTGAAATGGGAGTTTAAACAGCATGAAATTCAATCAATCAATGCAGCTTCAGATAAAAACAATGCTCAGGGATTTGGTCAAAGAAAAAAAATTATAACCACCTAGGGAATACAAAGAAACAAAACAATTTAGGACACTAAGGAGGGGTTGCAAGCTTGAAATCATTGTGTGAAAACAACATGCAGCATGCTGAACATCAACCTCTTAAGCATTTCTATCACGGTACACTCTTCCAGATATGCCCACCAACTTCCTAAGGTCATGAGCCTCAAAATTTTATCATATACAGATCATGATTTGCTCTTCAATTTATACTATATTATCTACAGAGACAAATTTAGTGCTTTTCAACTAATTTCTTGTTTTCCTTAACATCCAAATTTAGCAAAAATTCAGAGTGCACTGCTAGGTTAGTTCCACATGCATGGAAAATGTAGAGAATCTAAACTAGTGGTTGATACAGTGAAATATAGAGGCCATAGTTATACTTTTAAGTTACTGGGAAAAAAAAGGAAATTAACACTGGAAATTTTCTGCAGAGGAATAGTAGAACCGAAACAAGGAATAGCATGTTCTGAACAGTTATTTCAAAGCCATAACAACAAATTACAATCTTGACATACTAAGACTGAATCATTCTTTTAGGTCATCTATTATGTTTCTTCTTTTCTGTTTGTCTAGGAACTGAAGCCAAGGAAAAGGAAATAAGACTTGTGAACTATGCCATGCCTTGCACCAATGTTCCCCCCAAAAGTCCTTTGTTATATTTTTTCAGGTCCATAATGAGAAAAGAAAGAAGTGAGAAAACCTTAAAAACAATGAAAAAAAAACCTCAGTAAGGAACTGAAGTGGTATACAACATTAATTGGAGATTTACCTGAATATCAGTGCCCGATATCCCCTGGCAGTAAGATTCTTATGATACTTGATCATGCTACCAGCATCATGATGATACAAGATATTGTCTGTACATAACTCCCATCTACCGATCACAGTCTCCTATGGTGTCACAGGATCATAAAATTACTGCTTTTGAAATCTTCGAGAGATAATGACTTTGAGAGTGCTTACCTCTACAGCATGAATTGCTTTCCTAACTGCAGCATTATTCAGCCATTTTGTTGCTACTTCATCATCCTACAATTCATATAAAATTTTTAGTATGTAACTTATCAATACTTCCAATAAGATGGTTTGAGACAAATCACAAATAAATAAGAACCACCACAGTAATTATACAAGTTGGATGCACATAAAGAATAGCTTAGCAAAGAAATTGACAAAAGAGCTAATTAAGTCCATCAACTGATGGTTATCGACCACAAAAAGTCTTTAAGAGCAAAGGAATGCTTAAAGTTTTTTCGATTTTCACTTTATTTCTTTTAGTTCCAACGATGACAAGGAACTACATAAGCGGATACTGATAGCAAAGTGGAGGTTTAATAATCAATCAGTCATGATGTGAGGTCTATTTAGTCCATCTTTACCCGTGAGGAAAGAAATGCAAATTCATTATAATTATATGAGGTGGAATAGTGCATAAAATGGGAAATTAAAGATATAAGTCATATAGAAGACTCCTGGTTGTTACTTTTGCTACTTTGCTATTTGCTTTTTCCTTCCTCTAAAACATATATTTTGAATCCAAACACACTTTCTGCTTTAACTTCCGATGGCAAAAGCAACTAAGCAACTATCAAACAGAGAGTAAGCTATTTGCACAAAGCTCACACGAGCGCTTCATTCGAAATTATGAGAGTTATGAGTCAAGACCTATGTGTTCTATCTTGCTGGGATGCATACTGAATAGCATCAGAATTGCAGTGCATAGAAACAACATAAGAGCCCCTTAATGTAATTAAAGAAAACATAAGCGAAACAAGATATCTATAAGCAATCTTCGCATAGGAATCATCTGATGCCTTATAACAGTTCAGAATAAGTTAAACTTACAGTGCATGGAACACTTTGGCTATGGAGAAGTTGTGGCCATGTTGGAACAATTCCATCTCTAACAGGAGCTCTGAGAGGCCAGGCACGACCAAACATCCTTTTCCTTACAGCAAGAGGCCTGTCAGTCTCACCCAACATCCGGAAGCTGGAAGGTAGTCTAATCTTAATATCTGTAGCCTCAAGTGTTGCTGGGTCATGATAACAAGGTTCTAGGATGTTGTACATGTTCAAACCATTTATATTCTGCAATTAGTCAAAAGTTTAGAAGCAAATCAAAGAGAATGCAAGCCCTTAAATCATTGTAAATCAGCAATAAAGCAGTCAATTACCTCATCAACCTTTTCCAGTTCGCTTTCACAAGTTTCACTGAGTGGGTTATAGAAATTACCCCTGCACTCATTTTTAACCTCCTGCAATATGTAGCTTGAACTATCAGAACTAAATGTCATTTTTGGGAATAACAAACCATGGCCTTCTTTCACTCTACAACCTACAACAAGTTTGAATCTAACTGCTTCCAGTAATAAACCTGAAAAACTTTCTAAGAAAAATATAAAAAAAGAAAAAAGAAAAAGTTAGTAAAAGTTCAAGATTCTGGGTGGATGTGATTTTTTTTTTTTTTGAGTCATAAAAGGTACCAAAACTTAGGTTTCTAAGTTCACTACAGTCGCTTACTCACATCACTTCATGATGGATCATGGATGAAGTAATTGGATGGAGCTCCGTCAATTAAAATCCGCTCCTTATGTTAGTTTGATATATATTTCTAACAAAAAAATTAGCCACTACAACCAAACAATTAAAATTTAACTAGTTCAAAGAGGAAAACCATATAGCATATCGGGCCTTAGGCTGAGAAAAAAAAAATGTCCTTTACCTACCACAAACTAATAAGAAAACCCACCATTTGAAAACGTAGATTCAGCTCAAAAGTAGAACAGAAAGTTTAAACACTTTTACTGGAGCAAAATTTCAGACCAAGTAATTTCACCTAGGACTGGCACCTTCCATAGGGAGTCACCTAATGGAAATCTAGTCTTATGAAGGCAAAAGGAACTGGCACTAACATATGATATATCTTTTTGGGGGCTGCTCCACGCACCTCATATAGTTCATCTGAGATCAGGCCCATTCCATGGGCAAATGGAACAAGAGCATTGCCATCGAATTCATCATCTGTAACTCCGTTTCCCACCAAATATCCCTGTGCATGATGACTTTAGATTGCAGCTAGAAGGCATGTGTTTAAACTTTAACCAAAATAGTTTGCAGAGATACTCATACCTTGAAATTGGTAACAGGCTTTGTTCCAGCATCAATTCCTGTGAAAGATTCATATCTGCACTTTAGAGTTTATCCTAAAACTTATAAAGTCTAAACTAAGAGGATATACCTTTCACTACTTCATAAGAAAGAGTAGGCACATATATTCCAGCATATGACTCTCCAGCAATAAAAAACGGGTTTGTCAGGAACTCGGGGTACAGCTCAAACCACTGTTACACACAGATACTTAAGACTTAAGTATCTCAGCAAATAAAGAACTCGAGCAATAATGAGTACAATTTGTTATAACATTTTATTCCTTCTCACCTTCAACAGAAATGCATGCGTGTCAGTGGCAGTCTGTAGGTCACCAGTCACATAATCACTTTGATTCTTTGAATAAGAAAGCCCGACCCCAACTGGGGAATCTAAATATATAATGTTAGAGACCTGAAATCAAAAATAAATAAACCAGTGAAGTGAGGAAATGAATATAAACAAATCAAACATCTCCTTTTTATTGTATCAAACAGAAGTAACTGAAAAATTACAACCTTAGACCAACTATACATATTGAGATGCAGCTGAGGCAAACCTCCATTTGTCTTGGCTGCTTCAAAATTGAAAGGCCCTGTAATGAACAATAAAAAGCAAGTGCTATAAATTAATAAAATTTCTCCGAACCCTCGGTGTAGAAAGAATAAGGTGATGTATGTGAGGTGAAAAGGGTACCACAGAATCATTTCAGCATTCATCCTGGTCATCTAAAATGAGTATCCTAAGGGAATTAAATGCAATCTGTGGAAATTCAAACTATCTTCTTTTTTTTTTCATCTGAAACATGAATCAATTGCTTATCCAAAAAAAGAAACATGGATCAATCTTATTCTAAATCAATACAGTGAAACAGAGGATCCAACAAAACCTTACTAAATTATGCAACTGCCCACAAAATAGACCCACATTAATTTTCATCTAAGATTCTCTAAACCTCTCGTGGCTCTATTAAATATTTCCAAAGTCTAAAAAACCCAAATAAACAGATTATTTCAAACCCTAAGGTGAAACAGAAATATCTCAACATCTGATAAAAAAATATGAAACAGTTTTATTAACAGATGTTGTATAGTATTTACCATGCTCGTAGACAAAACCATCAAAGCTGGAGCATCCAGGTCCACCGTTGAGCCAAAGAACCACTGGATCTTCTGATGGTTTCCTTTCAGATTCCACAAAATAGTAAAACAGATTCTTGCCATGACTTTGATCAATATTCACATACCTTCAAAAAAAATACACATAACACAACAACCCTACCAAAATTAGAACAGAGAAATAAATTCAACTATTCCATGAATAATCACTAAAAAAAAAGGGTTTGACCAACGACAGTTGCGATTCCCAGACTATAGGAAACATGAAGAAAAGCAATGAATTAGGAAAAGATGAAAATATTGTAACAAAAATATTGAATCTGTGAATACCCAGAATAGTGCTTTGAAGGAAAAGTGCCAGCAAAGCCAGGAAGTTGAGTGATCAGAGCATTCTCAGGAGCTGACTCAGCTAATACCGCAAAGCTAAAGAACAGGCAAAAATATATGACTTTGTAAAAGCAAAGAGTAGTAGCCTTGGCCATGGCTATAGTTTTGAGTAAAAGTTTCAATATGGATTGATTGATGATAGTTTGTTGAATTTAAAGAGTGTTTTCCACACATGTGCCCAACACAGTTGAGGATAAAAATCGATGGTTTTGTCTTTTTGCAAGTTGCTATGGATCTTTTATGCTTTCAAGGCAAGATAACATGGGGAAAGCTAACAAAGACCAAAAAAAGAAAGTGCTCTGACTGAAGTGAGTGATCCAACAAAACAAAAAGTCATGGTCGTGAAACATGAGTTTTGGTTTGAGGCAACGGTACGATTACTGAAGGTAATAATTGCAGGCCATGATAGCAGGTGGACAAATGTTCAGTATCAAAATTGAAGTTTGTTGCGTAGGTATTCAATTGGCATTTGCTATTGCAAGATAGGTTTTGGGTTGCCGGGGTTGATTTTTTCTGTTTCCTGAAGTAAAGGTGCAAAATATCTTGACAGCATGATTTCTTTTCTTTCCCTTTCTTATCTGGCTTTAACTTTACGCATGTGTTTCTTTATACGAGCATACACACACCCATTATAATTAAAATATATATCATACACGACAAATTTGAGTATTAAAATCACAATTATGTCCTGAGGCTTAAAAAAAACCAGAGTGTAGTATTAAAAATTACATATTGATAGAAAAAATGAAGAGATTATAAAACCCATAAGAGATTAAAATTATGGGTTAAACTTTTCCTTTACAGTCAATCACTCTTCTTAAAACTTTTATATGCACCTATTTCAATGGCATAACATACAGTTTTTACAGATTGTTGAGTGATACAAGTTCACTAAGAATGGTACAAGATTTTCAGGGAACAAGATTTTATGCTACTTCCTGTCCATAAATTCGATTCCCAACCTAAGTAAGGCCATCCGATCTCCAATCTACTATTTGCCACTGTCAGAGGCTTTGTATTGCTGGTTGATTGATCAAATTATGGTGCTTACTTTATTCTTTTTCTTTCCACCATGGTTACCTGAATGAATGTCCAATGAAGGCTATGATTAACAGAATGAAAACTGTTCTACTCGAATCAGAAATTGGTGCTGCCCCGGAAAAATTAACTCTCTGAGCCTGATCCCTGTAGAACACAGAAAATTAGAGAAATTAACAAACAATAAAAGGAAACTATTAGCAAAGGAGTCAGTAGATAATCTCCAACATTACAGTTGTATATATACTATTGCCCTTGTGATAGCATTTCTTGTGGGATCTAGGCAGAACCCATAATAGGAAAAATATAGCAAACAACGGAAGAAACTAAACCACATTGTTTTGAGATCTCACCTCTGTAATGACGATAGGAAACCACAATATATAGCATTTTCAGGCAACGGAACCTCAGATTGGTCAGCCTCTGGATTCACAACACTCACATAAACATCTTGGCCTAGATACCATGAATCAAGATTCTGCACACGGAGATTCCAAATGCCTGCATTGTCGAGAAACCATAATGGCTGTCCAGGCTTCTGGAAAGACCTGCAACCAGGTATAATGTTACAAGTGGTTGTTCAAACATCAGATTTTAAACATCTAAAAAATGTTCAGGAAGTTCCACGTAATAAAAAATGTTAAATGTGAAAGCACCTTAAAAAGGCTAAAAGCATAATGTAGCTTCTCATAGTAAATTTCAAAACCCTAAGATTGAACAATTGCATTTCTCAAGAATGGTTTTTCCCATTGGTTTTGTTTCTTAAACCAAGATCTAGAATCCTTTCGATGATCCGGAAAATATCTCTTTCCTTGTTTTCTTTTCTCTTGTGCTTTTCACCACATTTTCACAGAGCATTTTCATTTGAAAGCATTTGCAGTCAAGATTATAAGGTAGGGATACCTGTGTGGTAGAGCGTGCAACACCATCCCTTTTGTTGTATGTGCCTCTGCTATTCTCTGTCCACACCCCAAAATCCATACTTCGATAGAGATCAAAATTTGTCAAATTCATGTATCCCAGCCCCCAAGGATAGAGAAAATAAGATATCAAAAGCTAAAAACTCACCCTACAACAAAGAATGCATAGCCATCCAGATGGTAGCTCTGAACTGTGGTGCCATTGTTCTGAAAGATTATTTCGATAAAACCTTTGAAAGTGCCATTAATTAGAGATGTATCGACTTTGAGAGGTCTGTTCATCAATCCATTTGGAAAATCAAGCTTGTAGACCCCAGGAATGTTGAACTGCTGAGCAAGCTTTATTGGTGTTGAAGGTGGTAAGTACGAAATACCATTAAGGGTCTACGCCATTTTCTGTCTACAAGCTCTGCAGGCCTATTGAGGATCAAATACACATCTGTCACAGTAATTTGGCCATACTTGAAAGATCCTTGTGGGTTTGGACATGCAGCACCAGCGGAGACATTCCACCTATAAATGTTCCAGATAGACAAAGATACAGTCAGCCTAGCATTGATGAGACTTTTAGCTTTAGTAGCAATTTGCTCTCGGCCATTCAGCAGTTGAGAAGACCATTTTATCCTGACAATAGTATCTGCCTGGCTATCAGAATTTAGATAAAGTAATCTTTTCAACTTCCCAACATATAATTTAGTATCCTGACCATAGAGAATAAAGCAATCATTTCAACAGCTCAACATTTTAAATGAGAGGGTTTTTTAAGCATATAATTCTTCTAGCAGCTCAAAAAAATTTCTAGTATATGTAAAAATTTGATGAAAAAAAGATATAGAATAAACTACAACCTTATTGATCTTGCTTGATTTATTGAGAAATATGTGTCATAATCATTAGGAGAATCAGGAAGAGGACCTGAAGCAGGTCCCTGAGAGTTGGAATAGTGCAAGATAGCAACTCCAGTAACTATAGCGCAGTCAGATGAATTGATAAAACAAGCTATGAAGTAATAATCATTGATAGCATTCTGATCCATGGTAACCAAGAATGAGTAAGATTGACCCACATGAATATCCATGTTTGAGTTTTTTTGCTAAGCTGTGTATGATCCTTCAGTCTCAACAAGAAGTAGGTTATGGTTTTGAATTCTGAAATTCAAGCTAGTTGAAATTCCAACATTGTGGACCCTGAGTCAGTATGTTTTTCCTGTTTCAGATGAATATAAAACATCTGGCTATTACAGGAGGCACCACAAAAGGGAAGTGGATGGTCTAGTGTCAACAGAGAATTGTAGTCACAATGTAAAATCCAGAAAATTCCTAGCATATCATATTAATGATCCAAACACAAACGTAGATATTATGGTGTGAAACAATATAACGCCTCAGGCGGGTATCATAATCCAATCAAGACACGAGGACACAACAATAGACATGGATTTAGAATTTCATAATATTAACATAAACATTTAACAACAATGTAGCATTAATATGCTTAGAAATAAATCTCAGACAGCAAGTTATGCAAAAGAAAAGTTTCTTCACCCAAATCAAAGAGCCTTCTCATTTCGTAAGTTATCTAATTATATTAAGTTGGATCCTCTTCTCGTTTGTACAAGCATCAAATACAAGTGTCATGACTGGAGAGTCTGACATGACAGGGCATTTTTTCACAGAAAATCAGGTAAAAAATGAACTATTTCTAATTTCCTGCTTTCATATTTCAATAAACACAAATCCTTACTGCATCAAAACAAGCAGAAAAGAAGAAACTGAGTTTCTGTCATACATGCAAGTACAAAACAATAAACGCATCAAAAAAAAAAAAAAAAAACAAATGCAAACATCTTATCAATTCATTTCCAAAGCCATGAAAAGCAAGATACACTTTTCTAATGGTTTGCAAATGTAAAGCCACGCTTTATATTTCGTGGAACATCCAAGCCTGCCCTCAAAAAATTACCAATGAATTGATATGTATCTTCAGATGCCCAATATATAGAATATCTGCTCCATCCTTCATGGAGTATGTAGAAATGAAACCCATAATCTGGGACAGGCTAGAAAAAATATACTCGTAAAAAATATGGAAGATGAATAGGAGTTATGTCAATATAAATTTATTCCTCCAAACAAGATATTGTTCCCTAAACTGAAACAACAACATACCAAGCATTGCGCGCACACCTTCAGTTGTGTACCCAGTTCGATATTTATTTTCTGGTAAACAATCCCATCTTTAACATGCGTCTGATCATAATGATATGGACTCAGTCCATTAATGAGGATACCATCAGGAACTCCAAGGTCAATTCCATTTTCAACATCTTTCCTTAATCCCTGCTTTTGCACGAGAGAAATTGTTGAGCACCCAAAAGTTTTAACTAGATTTGCTACAGACACCAGAAGCATTAAGAAAAATTAAAATTTTTGCAGACCTTATGACTCTTAGTATACCAGTCACTAATAAAGATAGTAATATCACCATCAGGCATCCCAAAGAGTAGTGGAATGACATCTCTATTGTTTATGATAATTCCTCCATGGCCACCTGCAGCTCTTTGGAAGTTTAGGGAAGGTAAGTAAAAGAAACTCCCTATCTGATCTTTGACCTGAAACTTGTATGTCCAGTTCAAACCAGCAGGAATCGGACAATTAGTCCCTGAAACACCATCTTGCCAAGAGTTTTTCCTTTGTTGTATACTATTCCTACATTCAAATAAGCAATATTAAGACAGATATCACCTGATATCACCCTTTCCCTTATTCATATTTATCTCTGTAATTCAATCCTTCATGGCACTTGTAAATTATACCACGTAAGCAGAAGTGGCTCATCAAGATCATTCTTGACGTTGACAACGATATTCCAATCTGTAGTTATGTTGAGGATTGGTCCAGGAAACTGCCCATTGATCCCAATCATCTGGAATAATGGTATTAAAAAAATATATATGTCAGCGGGCAAAACATTTTAGCACTTTCAATGGTCAACATATAAGATAGTTTTGGGCCATACTTCTGATTAATAGGTCATAACTCTGGCATGATTTGAGATGCTGAACAGGCAAGACAGACTAACATATGGATTCCAACATTATTGAGACAATAACTAACACAAACTAAGGCTTTATCAAAACCATAAACACAAATTGCAATGGTCATGTGGCACCATTGTGCTTTATCAAGACCATAAGCACAAATTGTTAACAAGTTAAGTTCAAACGTATGGCAAAATGCGAAGCATTTAAAACCGAAGTTTGAGAAACAAAGAGGTAAGATACACATATCAACCTCCATAAATGATGAACATGCTTTGAAGTTGTTTCCTTCAGCAGATTGAATTACTCAGAATGTTAACTAGAATAATTTATCAATAATTCATGCCAATTCCATATTTACTGCAATGAATTTGGGAGATAAAAAATTTGATCTTCACCTGAATCAACATACTAAAGAGCCTTAAAAGCATGAAATTTTAAATTAAAAAAAAAGAAAAGAAAGCATATTACGGTCGTCAAGTTATTCAAAGTATAAGTTCTCAATCACCAAAATTAAATAATTGGATAGCAAGTAATCCACTCAAGCCACTATGATATTTAATGTCAGTAAATTGGCATTATTGGTATAGACAAAAGCTACCATTTTGGAATTCAATTGCCTTAAAAGGAGGTTAATAAGAACCATTTTACAGACATAAAAGGCAAGCGTACTCTACATTTTGATTCTAGAGATGGTTTTCTTGCCATAATTTTACCACAAGTGCATGTCCTAGTTATCTTGATAACATGATTAGGCAACTCTAAAACCCAACGTCTCAGAATAAGATACTCATTATTACTTACTACAAAAGAACCAGCAGTAACTTCACTCCTTATAGTTGCACTAAATTCAAAAAAAAAAAGAAAAATCCACTGTAATTTGTCCACTAAGCAGAGAAAATTTGAAATCCGCAGACAATTCAATATATAACTCACAACATACATTTTTCAGCCAAAATCTTAACAACCATTAAGCTTTAAGCAAGCTACACATGATTCCCACAAATATTAAAAAAAGAAAGATCAATTGTTTAAACAAGTAAATAAATTCAACAAACAGAAGAAAACCGCTAGAGAAGATAAGGAGAAATGAACCTGCTGTTTATCACCAAGTGGAGAAGTTGTGAGATAAGAAACAGTCCAGTCATTGAAGACATAAGGGTCACCTGCCAAAGAACCACACACCAAACAACCCAGCAAAAAGAAGGAAGAAACCCGGAAATGTGGTGGCCCAGATACCATTGGATCTCTCTACATGTAAAAAACGATTTGAGCTTTAAGGCATCTTATCTTCTTCACTGTGAAGACAAAGAAAGACAATAGGCTTTTTAGAAAGTGGGAGCTGTAGTAGTATAGTTTGGTTAACTGGGTTCGTGAGTTTGAGAGTGCGGATTTTGAGTCACATTGGAAAGTGGCAGGAGGCCATGTTTGGAATTGGAGACAGCTCGGGTGGGGTTCGAGGCGCCAAATACTTGGTTTCTGGCACTGGGTTGCATTCTTTTTCTTTTTTCTGTTGTATAATATCTAGACAGCTGACCCGCTAATCATGGAGTATCAAATCATCAAAAACAGAATACTTTTAGTACCGTGTTAAAATGGGACTTGATAATGTCTAAATATTAGGCAAATAAATGGAAAATGTTTGGATGCGAAATTCTTTTGACCGACAGATTAGGGACCTTTCCATCATTTCATGGCAACTTGCTCTTTGACTGAGTTGAATCTGGGCTAATTTACCACCAATAATGCAAGTTTCTGTCCAGTTCTGAATACTTTAGTATTAACTGTTGTTTGCAGTTCAAGTACTGTAAGCTGAGCAATGAGTGATTTTTCCAAGACAATCTACCTTTTTAACACCTTGCTTGATCCGAAAGGCATTCTTCAATTTTTAACACATTGCTTGATCCGAAAGGCAATCTTCAATTTTTTTTACTGATTCTGATAGTAAAAGCTTTTCTTTTGGTCCAATGAAATAATATCAAGATTCATTGTAGTTTTTTTTTTCTTTTTTGGCTAATTATTCTCATTTTTTATATCTTAATATATCATAAAAAGATATGTGAAAGTGACAATGTCTGTCAGTCAAGTTCGCGCCTAATGGACGAGAAACTAGACTCGAGTTTTACTTTAGAAGCATGGACTCGAGAGACTGCGTTGAGTCTCGTAAGTAAGAAGTTAAAGACAGGCCCTGGCATAAAAACAAATGAAGGCTACGGCTCAAATAAAATCAGACATGGCTCAAAGGGCTCAAGCCCATCTTTCATTTCACGATAGAATAATTGAAACAACGGGAAAAAATGTAGCCCAACCCATCTTTTTCTCTTGCCCAAAAAAATTCTAAGGACAAAAAAAATTGTATTTGAATAAGAATGTAGAAATGTACTACTTAATTGGAGGCATTAATAAATATATTATGTGAAAATAATTTCTGACTTAAGCTTTAGTTCTTTACTAAACATATTGTGCTTTAACCTCAGTTCCATATCATCCTGATCATTTTTTTTGTTTTCTCTAATTTTATTTTTTTTTATGCATTGAAGATCATTTATGATTGTAAGAGAGACGGATAGTGAAGTATGAGGAAGAATATTTTTGATCTCCATCTTAAATTTTTTATATTATATTTATCTCGATACTTATATTTAATGGATATTTTAAATTCAACTACATTTTTATCTTAATAAGTATTTAATGAGTATGAGTAATTTTCGTATTCATAGTTTTTTAAAAAATAAATATTTTATTTTTATTTTTATTTTGTATTTTTAATTTTTTTTAAATATATATTTTTAAATATAAACATATTAATTTTAATAAATCTAAAATAAAATTTATATTATTAAATGAAAATTTATTTTTTAAATATATATAAAGTATAGTACAAAGCGAATATAATATTACTTATCTCCATAATTGATAAAAAAATTTTAAAATCATATCCATTTTTATTTTTATTTTTAAAATTTAATATCCATTCTCAAGATAAAAATTCATATTTTTTTTAAATTTAGATAAAATTGACATCCTTAGAGAAATAGGAAGGAAAGGAAATGAAAAAAAAAAATTATTTGTTTTTTTTCCATTTCTTTGTTTGCTAAAAAAAAAAATAAAAGCAGAAAAGGAAAAACAGTGGTTTTGCAGTTTTTTTTTTTTTTTTTTCTAATTTCAATCTTTTCAATTATGGGAGTAAACACTTCTTCAACTTAAATTAATAATTTGATTTACAAAAATGCTCTTCTTTGTTTTTTCTTTAAATTTTCATTATTCGTATCAAATTTAAATAAGAAATAATTTTTTAAATAAAATTTGATTTCATTTATGTAAAGAAGTAGTAAAACTGCCACCAGTGCAACTAGTTCCACTGCAAGTACAAATTAAACAAACATGCAAGCATTTAACTCTCAGGCATTAGAAGCAAATTAACATGATCCATGACAATGTTTCTTAGCCCAGCCAATCTTAGTCCAACAACTTCCTTGATGCAGCCAACCACCTGCATAACAGAAATGCCTGTTGTTCGCTCCTTCCAGATATAGTATACATGCAGGGACGTTGCCTATGGGGGCAAGCAGAGCCATCCCACCAATTTTTAACCCCCTTATAGAATAGTAATTGGTTCCATCAAATATTATTTCTGACCTCTCTTCTTTCTTGAATTTACTATTTGACCTCTATTTTTCTAACTTCACCCCTATATACATATATATATATATACATATATATATATATGCATTTCAAGCAACACACAATTGAGATTAAAGCCCTCTTCTGTGACTTATTTTATTGTCCAGTACAACTCCTCATTCCAATTGGCAGCGCTGCTGCTAAGCTGGCAAAGTTGTAATGCTTCCTCCCAAATGCTTTTTTTTTTTTTTTTTGATTTGAAGTACGAGAAGATTTTTTCATTTTAACATTAAGATAGATCATAGGTTTTGAAAGTAACTTATATTGAATTTATAGATTATCTATCAAATGAAATTTTTATGATAAGATTCGAATTTAAATTTTACAAACAAGTTATTTTTATCTTACCAACTTGATCAACTTGCTACCCTAAGTGTCTTTTGGATATTCACATTCAAAAAACAAGTAATCTCTAGTTTTCACTTGCATTGATATACCAAATATTTACCATTCACTTCAATTTCCCATGAAACAAGTCTGTGATTGTCAATATGAATTAATGATAAAAATGATGTAAAAAGGTGATAATAAAAATTTTGTTATTAATAGCTAAAATTTATAATAAATTTTTTACTTTATAATTTAATTATTAGTTTAAAAAAAATTAATTTTCACTTCTTTTCGTTTTTCCTACAAAATAAAGCTTTAATTTTTTAAAATATGATGTAAAAACCATATTAATTTTTTTTCACATAATGATATTACAAAAATCCAACAGAAGAAATTTTATAATAATTGAATTTGCAATAAATTATGTACCTATACATATTTATTATTAACTGATTTAAAGTTAAATATTTACATGTTGCTCAAATTCAATTTTACATACATATATATAATAAAATATAATCTTTAATTCAAAAATTATTTTTCCTGATAACAACACTCTATCAATAAATTTTTTTGTTAGTAACTTAGTATATATCCTCTAATTCATTTTCTTTTTCAATTTTATCACAAATTTAAATCTCTCCTCTCCTATTACTATCATTTATATAAAAAAAATTTGGTGTGACATTTTATAATTAATAGGTTATATATCAATATGTGTATATATATATATATATTGTTTAAAGAAGAATATAATTTTTATAAGAGAAAAAAAGATTTTAAACCGAAATTAAAATTTTTATATTTTCATAATTTTTTAAATTATTAAATAAAAAATAAAAGGATATATTTGTAACTATATATATATATATACACATGGGTAATGATTAATGGTTTGGTGGGCTAAGAAAATGATGGCTCCTAAATGACTAATGTACAGGAATTAATGATAATAATGTTTGAAAATAAGTAGTTGATGAAAATGATAGCTTTATGAAAACCCTCCTGCCAAGATTACAACCAATTCTTCACAAGCTACATGCTCGACAGATTTTTTTCTTTTTTTTTACGTTCTAATTAATTACTATGCCCTGAAATTATTGTTTATTAGTTATGTCAACACAAAGTCATACTCATAATCACTATCTCCAAGACTCCAAGTCTAATCCTCTACCCTCCTCCACATGGTCTTCCCTCCTTCCTCTCTCCACTCACTTTGACCAATTTTCATTCTGAGGATTTATTCTTTTCAACTAATAGCTCATTATTTTTTTTTCAATTATAATTCATTTTAATTCATATAAGCAGCATTACCATATTGAAAATCTCCCGCAAACGTGCCCTTCTCCACACCCTATTGTTAAAATCACGAATTCCTCGTGTGATTCTTCCCCAATCTAGCGCTCTTTCCGGTTACCTTAAGGTCTATAATCATCATAGCGGCTGCGCCGCTGGCTGACACCGTCACGCTTATGAACAGAGAATTAAGTCATTCACTGAACCACCAGCAAAGAAACTCGAAAAACGAAACCCCGGAAGTCACACAAATTTACAATTACGTGGAATTAAAAGACTGGTTTAACCGTACGATAGGGAAAAACCCCAACCACAGACAATAACGGCGAGTGTCCCCACTTTTACTACCAAGTTCCAATAATTGATCATTCTACCAATCCTCTCTGTGCTCAAGCTGGTAACACTGTCTTCCTCCACTTCTCTTCTTCTTCTTCCGAATTTTCTCTTCTTCCCAATTTTTCCTTAAACCCTAATCCTAGATTTCCCCTTTCTCTTGTAAATACTCTTAAAAAAAAAAATTCCCCAATCTTCATGCTCTAACATAAAATTCGTCAACGAAGAAAATTATGATTCCTTTAATTTCATCCATATTTCTTTACTCTATTTTCATCTTCACGGTTGTCAACGGCGAGAGCGATTCAATTTACGAGATCCTAAAGGCCCATGGGCTACCCATGGGGCTTCTTCCGAAGGGAATAATCCGATTTGACTTCGACGATACGGGCAGATTCGAGGTTCATTTGGATCAGGCCTGTAATGCCAAGTTTGAAAGCGAGTTGCATTATGATAGGAACGTGTCGGGGACTTTGAGTTACGGGCAGATCGGGGAGCTGTCGGGTATTTCGGCTCAAGAGTTGTTTCTTTGGTTCCCGGTTAAAGGGATTCGGGTCGATGTTCCGAGCTCGGGCCTCATTTATTTTGACGTCGGTGTCGTCTTTAAGCAGTTTTCATTGTCGTTGTTCGAAGCGCCGAGGGATTGTATGGTGGTTCGGGATTTTGAATCCGGCTATTCGATTCAAGATGGCAAGTTATTAGCTGAAGCAATCTCCAAGGTTCACTATTTTTAATTCCTTTATACTTAATTGATCAATACTTTATGAAATATAAGCTAATTGAATAGCAGAATTTAATGTTCTTCGTTAACAATTTGTAGAGTCAATCTGCGAAACTTCAATATGAACTTGATCAAGAAAGTTTTGGGAGGAACGATATGTAGAAAGGTGGACAAAAGAATTTGTGGAATAGCTCAAGCAGTTTAGCTATCAAGGGTATCTTGGGGCTTGTTCCCCACTTTGTAAATTTTCCTCGGTGAGTCTGCTCTAGGCGGTCTTTATGCTTCCATCATGTATGCTTTGCTTGCTTTTTTCTTCCTTTATTCTATATATTGCAGAGTCCTCGACATGTCAAGTCAAGCCGGCTCCTGACTATGCGAGGATGGTCAATGAGGAGAAAATGGAAGATTGGAAAGCTATATTTTTTATGAATGTCATGGTTGGTTTGCCATATGGTAGATAAAATGGAAATGAGAGCATTTGGATGGCGATTTCAGGTGATAAAATCTACGAAATTTTATTCATATGTTAATTTTCCTTGTATTATGAATATAAGCATGGTTGTTAAATTGAGTCTCTGTTTGTTGTAGTAAAAAATTTTAGATTGACGCTCATGATTCAATCATGATACAAAGTTCAATAATAAAACTGTCTTGCTTCATTTCCATTATTTTTTGCTTCGTTAACATTTTGAAAGACCTTTGTATGCTTGAATATTGTATTTCAGTTGTTTTGTTGCTTATTTTCTAATCTTGAGTTTCCACTGTTCAGTATTAGATATGTGTACACCATGAGTTATATTAATCTATATTGTTTCAGTAATGAGTGAAATGGAGGGAAAATATGGGTGGGTGTATTGAGGACATTGTTATTTGATTGTATTTTTTTAAAAAACTTTTCTTTAATTGACTTATACTTACATTGTTATGATCAGGTCTAAACGTCGATGGAATCTGTTTTCAATGTCAGAGAGTTTGAACTTTGAGCATGGGTTTGTGACTTTGTGTAGTGATGGTCATGGGAGTATATTTCTCCCAAGGATTTTTGAACGGACACTCTAGTCTCCTAGAAAAATTTTGAGTTTATTTTTTCCTTTTTTTTTTTTTTGCTTTGGCTTTGGGAAGGGTTGTTAAAGCTTTGCAAAATTAGTGAACTTTGGGTATATACCAGATAGGCTGCAATGGCATATGCTTATTTTCTAGGCATGTGATGAAAGTTGTGAGATACTTTAAAAAATAGGTTGTTTTAGCATCTAGGTTATTGGATTTTAGATTGGTTAGCATCCACAATTAGAAATCACTGCATACATGGTATACTCCTGTACAACATTCTGCATTTGGAGCTTGGTGAGATTTTCTGAATCTATTCAGTGTATAATCTGTCTCTTCTTCAGCCTTAATTATCCACCCCCCTTCCTGGATGTAAAAGCATGTAGATTTCCATATGAGATGCTAGGTGCATATCAATCTTGTTAGCAAACATTTTTTTGCTAAGAACAACTTGGTAGTGAAATGTTGAATAAGAAATTGGATGTACCTCTACTGTAAGTAGTCAAGCTTGGAAATTGGAATGTTTCATCTGAGAATGTTCCATTTGATTAAACCTGCTCAATAAACCAGTGTAAAAATTCGGTCTACTTTGTCTTCGATCCTCTATGTAAAATTTGAGGTTTGCCTATACTTTACCCATAGGCTTGGGTGATCCTTATGAGATGGCTTTGGACTAGGCCAATGGACCTTCATTAAATTACTTTGATAAGTTGAATTTTGCCGCTTCACTGTCCAACTGCTATTAAGGACACTGTTTCCTCTGCATGTTAGATGTGGATTTCTCCTTTGCTGACCCACTTTGAAAATGGACACTCCAAAAAGCTGATTTTCTTTTCATTTTCTGATGGGTTAGTATCTCAGGTGAACATGTCTTCCTTTTTCCATCATTTGGTCATGCTAGGTAAGGTGGAGTTAAGAGGTTCAATTCTTTAACAGTTGGATGTTCGTTACGGAAGAATGGAAATATAATAGGTTCAATTTTAATTCTGAATGTTTGGCATTCTTGTGTTCCCGTGATATATGCCTCTTTCAGTCTGTGGATCTCGACTCTAGAGTGTTGTTACTTGTTTGTTCCCAAAGCAAAATATATATATATATATATGGCGTCAGACTCGTGCCTGATGACTTTTTATTAGCATAAAGCCAAGTTTAAAAACGATTTCTTTTTGCTCAAAATAAGGATATATTCGCAAATATAAAAGGGGAAATTTTGGAAATGAAGATAAAGAAGGAAAGGTTTATGTCACGGGTCGAGATTTAAGATCTAATTCGTGCGATTTCAGGATTTGGGTATTCACTCATCCGACGTTTCAGATCAATCTATCTGTCACGGTTCACACCTTTGTGAGGTATTATTCGCTCTGATTCTCATGATCTCATGATTTTATCGTACAAAAAATGCTTCACAAGAAAAAGATAGTGTGAACTTTTTTATACTTCAGTGATCCTTTTATTATGTTCGATATGAGATCTAAAATTTTTTTTTAGATCCGTGACATTCTCTCTCATCCAACCTCGTGACACCCTCGTCACAGAGGTTGGCCACCCTTGGTCACCTTGTTTATTTCCCTCGAGGCATTTGATGTGAATCGAACAGTTTAGGGTTGATTCTGATATCACATGTCACAAGTTAATACTTAAGTTCTGATCTGCGTGACTCTAGGATCCGGACATCCATTCATCTGACGTCTCAAATCAATCTACTTGTCACGGTTTACACCCTTGTGAGGTATTGTTCGCTCTGGTTTCTCTAATCATACGATTTTATCTTACAAAAAATATTTCACAAAAAAAAGATTGTTTGAATCTTTTTATACCTCAGTGAACCTCCTATTACATTCGATGTAAGATTCATGATTCCTTTTTAAGTCTGTGATATTTAAGCTTAACTAACTTATTTATAAATCCACTTTCGTAGACCTTTCGTTCTTACATTAATTAAGCTTTTCTATGATAACTTGAAAGGTTTAATATTGCATTCGAGCTTAAACTCATATGAATAATGCAATTTCTCGTGACATTCAGTAAGTGTTAAGCTTAAATTTTAGTACTTATAATTATTTTTTTACTTTTAGGTTAATTTTTTTTGAAAAAAAAAAATGTTTAATATTGAACATTTGGTGTTGATTTTTTTAGTGCTAAACCTTTACCTTTTCATGTGCTAAACCTAATTAATAAAACTGAAAAAAATGATTAGTTGTAGTATTGGTTAATATAGCATCTTCAACAGTGGAGGTTAATCTTAATCTTAATGACCTTGTGATAATTTGCAATGAAACAAAGAAGGAAACCGAGGAGGAGAGGTCACAGTCAATCTTTTGTATTTACTTACTCCTAGTATTTAGTAAAAAATAAAACAAAACTAACGGTCCAGAAATTCCAGGAGAAATATTTTTGGTCGTTTACCTTTTCACTTTTGTCAATTATTTTAATACCATCCTTTTGGTGATACCGAGATCTTTTCCATTATTTGTTTAATTTAATTTTTATTAGTATTAGTATAATTCTGCCGTTCAAGTACATACAATATACTTCATCTTTGGAAGAGGAAAAAAGATCTCAAAGCACGATAAAATCAAAGTCCACGTCACAAAATGGTATCACTTAATGCCGTGTTTACGCTTGTTATTTTTAAAATTAAAATATTAATATCAAATATATTTTTAATATTTAAAATTTTAATATAAATATGGAATTATAAATGAGCGGGTTGAGACTCGGCCCAAACTTAGCACAATTTTCAACATGCAACAGCTAAAAGCCGATTTAGGTTATTTATCTCAATGGGCCAATTGGCTCATAAAACTAAAACAGATCAATATGAACCGCCCAAAAGCATTTTGCTTGGTCTGTTTCATGATCCAATCTTACATTATCTAATTTGGGTTCAACTCAGGTAATTGATGGGAGGAGGGTGAGAGTTTGAAGAGAAATTTTCTGCTCAAGCTGCATTAATATCTCCTTATATTTTGGTATAAAAAGCTGAAGAAAATATAAGTGAAGTTATTTAGGTGAAGTTTGTGAAATTATTTTTTTAAAATGATTTAATAAAAATTTTAATAAAAAATTTAAATCGATAAATTGATAGAATTTAATGTGAAAATTAATAATATATATAAAAAATTATTAAAAATATAATTTATAATTCAAATTTGATCGATACTTATTTAACAATAAAAATTATATCAACATTTTTAATAAAAATATCTATATAAAAATATATATATCAAAATTTATTAAAATAAATTTAAATTTATCATATTTGATCTATGTAACGAAACCTTTAAATTTATCGATTTTCATTTTTAATTTTTAATTTTATTTAATCAATTTTAATTGAAAATTTTACAAATTTTACCTAAAAAAATTCATCTAAATCTTTTCCTAAAAAGCTAATCTCCAACACACATTTCGAGGAGGGAAAAAAAAACCCAAGTGATAGTTACAGTGGGAAGAATTTTGGTACCCAATTGCATTCCAGACTAGTCTAGTCGGGGAGAATATGGTGGACCCTGGAATAGAATTCCAATTTCGTACCGCAATTATGGGCTACAAAATTGCTGTTTCAACTTTCAAGTGTATTAGTCATTAACAACATGCCCCTTTTTCTCTACCTTGAGCTCGACTTTTTCCAGTTGTTTACTATTTGCATGGACATGATTGTTAAGCTGTTGTTTGTGATGCAAAAATCAATTCCCAGCTGTTTGGAGAAACCAAACCACCTCATCTTTCTCTCTCTTTTGTTCTTCCGATAGCTATCCTTCTCTTTACCAATAACCTGTGATCAGATACTGCCATCCATGTTGTTCGTTGATTTCTTTACTGTTTTTTTTAATATCGCTGTCTGTCCGCAACCTGCCTTATTTCTGCTCCATCTGAAACTTGTCATTAGCACTAGTCTTAGGCTAAGGATTGCTGCTTACCGCTTGGAAATTAAGTTGGCAATCTTTTTTCCGGTAAGTTCCTAATGCACTCTCGCACAGTAGTGTATTTGCTTGTTCCTTTGATCATTACAAAGCTTTTATTCCCATGTTTTATATCATCGTTTTAGTTAATTAACTGCAAATACATACATGTTTAAAAAAAAGAAACTGCATATCTCATTTCAGGATTCAAGATCATATTGCTTTTATTAAGTGAATAGAATCAATTTGGGCTTATTAAGCAAATGCATGGACATTATTATTTATTATCATTTAAATTTAATCATTAGCAAGAGGATATATATGGAAAGGAATTGGAGGATATGTCCTTTGACCATGAAAACCCAAAATTTACTACTCTTTAGTTAGAAGGATTTGCAAGAAGGGAGAGCTTTTATCCTGTGCATGAGGTTTTAAGAAGGGAAAGGTTGTACACCTGAAGAGAAAATCTCTCTTCTCTAATCCCCTCCGACCTCTTCATTTTTATAGAACAACCAAATCTTTATTTCATTTTCCCAAAACAGTGTTGTCTTTTTATTTGGTTAATTTTCCCAAACAGTGTTAATCAAATAAAACTTACAACTATTAGTATATATAGTAAAATGATTCCTATGTTGTAAACAAAAAAGTGTGTATGTGTGTGTGTGAGTGTGTATTATGATCATACAAGAGGAGAATATGTACCAAAATAAAAATCATGGAATAGGAGAAAACTATGGATTGATCAAGATTCCTAACCAATTACACCTCTCTCTCACCCAAATTACTTAAGTCCCCAAGATTGTGAAGTTTTTATATTTATAATTGGACATCATTGTTTGAAAAAAAAAAAAAAAGGAACTTCTACCAATTCTTATAACTGTACAACATGATTTACATGACAAATTAAATATAGATTGTTGGATTACAAGACCAAAATGTGGCAAATATCTTGAACTAAAAATCTCGAATATGAGTATCATGTATTTTTGCACACTTTAAATAATCTTTTTCTTTTAATTCTGGAAAAAGAGGGATTCAAACCCGCTCGTTCAGCATTAGGAGAGTTTATATATATGCAATGGCTTGAATCTATGATCACTACAAAACTCAGCCTTAAACTTGCTACTTGAGTTAAATCCAAATAATAAGATATATATATTTATTTATTTATCACTATTCTTTTGCATTTTTTATAACCTTAATTTACATAATTAATATGTATATGTATATTGATATATTTGGAAAATTTTGTATGTATAATTAATACAACATTTTAGACACAATTTTCCTTAATTTCCTCGTAAGAAAAAAATATTTTCTTCTTTTGGTGATCTTAAAGATGCCAAATTAAGTCTAGGGGCTGCTCATCCCAATTATATATAGTTCTCAAAATTTTCATTGTTGATATATTATTCAAGGGCGAATGGATTAATTAAATTAATTAGTTTTCATGGTTGGAGTTGGTTGAGGTTTAAAGTAGACCAGATCATAGGTTCAACCAATAATTAATTTTGTGTTAGATGGTAGTTAATCAAAGAAGGTATCAAAGTTAGGTATGTCATCAATACTTAATTTTTAATTGTATTAATTCCATTGATACCTAAGCATATAGAGTTTGGGATTCTCAAATAAAACAACATTAAATGAAGTTTTTATTGAAATCTTGGTAAGTTGTGTTTTTATCAATGATAATTTGCCACAAACAAACAAACAAACATATTCTTTTGGTACAATAAGATGACTAGCTTTAATAAAATTTCCATTGTAATAGGCTTTTCTTCTTCTTCTTCTTCTTCTTCTTCTTCTTACATAGCAGTCAAAACATTCTTGTTTATTCTTATGAAACTTCAAACTGAATTAGTAATTTTTCTAAAGTACATTTTAGGGTTATTGTTATTTACTAATGTTTGATTGGTGTTAAAAAAAAACTTCTCAACAGTATACCTATACATAAACCTTTTGTTTCGTGTCCATTTAAATAGAAAACACGTATCATTTAAAATGCATGATTAAGGGAGGTAAATGTCCTATAGGATATATTAAAAAAAATTAATAAAAGAAGTGAAATATGCGTCAGTTTCATGAAAAATATTTATATGAAGTTTCATAGGTAAAATTTGTAAAATTTCTTATTAGAAATGAGTAAATAAAAATGAAAATCGAAAATCAAAACTGATAAATTAAAAGATCTCGTCACATTGATGAAGTATGCAAAATTTGAAAAAATTTTAATATATTTATTAAATAGACAGTTTTAGTAAAAGTAGTAATAAAATTTTTACCTTGAATAAATATCAATCAAATTTCAATTATAAATAATATCTTTAATAATTTTTTTTTGCATATTATTAATTTTCACATTAAACTCTATCAATCTATTGGTTTAAATTTCTTTATTAAAATTTTTATTTACTCATTTTTTATAAAAAAAAATTTCACAAACTTCACTTATGAAATTTCATTTAAAATTTGTCCCAGTTTCATAACTCCACTAATGGAGTTAAAAAACTTCATTATAAAATAATTTCTCTTTTCATAATTTAACTTTAGATTTTAATTTACATATTAATGAACATATTATTATAACATAGGGCTAAAACTTAAGTGACTTCTTTCTAATGTGAAATTTATGAAATTTATGTTGGAAGTGATTAAATTTTAAAATAAAAAACTGATGAAACTGATAGAAATTAAGATATCTTTGTTGAATACATAAAAGAAAATATAGAAATTTCTAAAAAAATGACATCTATATACATAAATCTTATCTGATGGTAACTGAAGCAATGGAATTTTTATTATCATTTTCTGGTAATTAAAATACCTACTTAAAATAAAACGTAGGTTAGAAATGGTAATTAAAATTTAATTACTTCTTATATAATAATTTATTTCAAAAACTCATCAACCTACATCACTTTTATTATCAATTTAGCTTTCATTTAAAAACTTCATGAAACTTTTACACTCTGCCAATAATATAAACTTGCCACTGGAATATGTTTAACATTTTAAGGAACATGTTGCAATAATTAATAGTCTAAAATTTTTGTGCATGTCCCTTTAATTTCCACACAAAAAAAAAAAAGACTTAGAAATGTGGGATTTGAGCTTGAAAAGCTTCTTTTGTGGAAGTATGCTACATTAAAAAAAAAAAAAAAAAGAGAAGAAGAAGAAGAAAAATATAGGCTGGTAACAATTAGGCTTTAAAATATCAGTTTTATGACACACTTTCAATCCTATATATAATTAAAGCTGAATTTTGCATTAGTACTAAGTAGTAAGAACTAATTGAAATGAAACTATGTTAGAAGAGTTAATATGGCAAATTAATGTTGACCTAACCAACTGAAATTAATATATAGTAAGATGCAGCAAACTGGAAATGAGTCAGTTTTTGAATAATGAGAAAATGCTTGATGACACTTAATATTTTATTTTCCTATAAAATAATTCATGACCAAATGGCTGAATAAAGGAGAGGATGCCAATGGTAAAAAATATCAGTGAGAAATCTTGGATTCATGTAAGATAAGTAATTAATGAGAAAGCAAAGGTAGGAAAAAATAGGGAGAAAATGATGGGAAAAAGTCGTATGCTTTTATAATTGATAGGCTATAAAGTATCCAAATTATACCAAAGGCATAATCAGGGGGCGAGTTTTTCCTGGGAGTCTATTGTAAAAAACTGTAGGATTAACAATCTTGATAAAAATGTAAAAGAACCATCGCAGAATCTTGTTAAAGACTTTAAAAAAGATTATTTATCCCATTTAATTGTTGTTTTATTTTTTAGTGCTGTTTAAAGTTCAAATTAATAAAACTGATAAAGCTAACTTAGTTGGTACATGTAATTACATTTTAAAATAACATATAATAGGTTTAAAATTTAAATCCCACTATTTTTTTTATCCTAAGATTGCGATCTCTTTTGCATAAAAAATCCAAATTAATAGGATTAAATTTTGCATGTGGCTAGACAAAATAACCTACAGTATTACTATTACTGCATGTTGAAGATATTCTATTTCTATATTCCTTGTAACTAAAGAAAGTGTATGTTTCAGGGATTGTGTAAAGTATTAGCTTCTCTTGACTTTTTCCCATTTTTTCTAAAAACTTTTGTTTGTATCATACATACATCCATACACACACACACACATATATATATAAATATAAGGAAATTTTGTTTTTTCAGCTTTCAGTAAGCTATAGCACACTATTCTTTCTGTTCGGCCTGAAGATATTTATATATTTTTGGTCTAAAGAAAAAAAATTCAGGAAGGAAACGCAAATCTAAGATTGGTAAGATGCATGTGAACCAAAGGAATCATTCCATATAAGCACCTTTGAACCAAATTGGATGACAGCCCTAAACAAAAAGTTGAAAAACAAAACTTAAGAAACATATATGCAGGGTCCTGGTTTTCATGAAACCGGAAATAATAATAATAATAATAATAATAATAATAATAAAGGAGCATATAATAATAGATTACTTGGACCCATATATATACCTCTACAGCTCTACTAACTTAGATGCTTTTATTGTTTATTTTGGCATTATTGAAAGGAGAACATTCTACTTATAATTTTATTTTATTTTTTTTAGTTTTTGGGTTTTGGGTTTGTTAATTTTTGTGTGGTTGATAATTGATAGAAGATAAAACTAAATTACAATTTGATGTACACTCGTGCCAAACAAAGAAAAAAATCAGATCATTTTCTCTTCATTGATCAACCCAAAATTTTAGAAACCCAAGAAAAACAAAAGAAATTAGGACTAAATCTGTAAAAAAAAACTCAATTAACAGGTAATGACTTCAAATTGTATGTAAATAAAGGCATATAGGACCAACAACTATACAAACAGTTTATAAAAAAAAATCCCAATATCTCACAGAGATTGTGCAAGTTTCTTCACTTAGTACTCACTTTCTGTTTAGAAACTATTTCAGCTGGCTATCTGCTCTCTACAGAAAATATAATACTTACCATCTTAGACAATCATCTCATCTCTGAATAAACCTTCTTTTTTTTTTCTTTTTAACAATATGTTCCTCGGATATATACATACATATATATATATATATATATCTTTATTCCATATGTGTTGATATAATTATAAGAATATATATAATTACTCAGAGAGAGTAGAAATCGACAATTTTTTTCATCACTTGTACCTGGGTGGTAAGGCACTTTATGTAATGTGCAGTCTCATCCAACAAGTTGCATAAATCCATGGCTTCACCACCTGGAACAAGCTCTCTAAGCTCATCTGCTTGGACAACAAACCCAACCTGATCTTCCCCAGTTTTTGTGGGCTTGTTTTCCTTTTCATGATTTGTTTTCTTCCTTATGGCTTGATGAGAAGTAGTTGTACTAGTCTTGACTGCTGATCTTCTGCCTGAAGAGGCTTGACGATAAGACCGGCTTCGAAGCTTCCAAAGCATAGCCCTACTCCAGGTTCTCCTCGACCTGACCGAGTTAGCCATGGACTTGTCAGCTGCAGCCTTAATTCTTCCATAACGTTGGAAGATCTCTCTAGGAGAAGATGATGAGATAGGTTTCTGAGCATTTATTTTAGTCAGAGCCCGAAGGAACCTTCTGGTGAACCTGGATTTTAGAGAACTAGCGTTCAGGTGTTGAGGGTTCATGGGGGACAAATATATGAGCTGAAAGTAGATATAAAACTGATAAGAGAGACAAGTAAGCTAGCTAGGGTTTTTTTTTTTTTTTTTTTTGGGGGGGGGGGGGGGAATATGATATGAAGATGGAAAAGAGGTATAACTAACTGTCGTAGGCTTTGCCTTTTTTGGATGGATCAGAGGGACAAATGAAAAATTAGTTGGTTGTGGGAATTGAAGAGAGATTTTGTTTTCTGACACAGAGGGGCCAGTTGCCCAGAAGTTATCACAAGGACAAAAGCAGAATTTTAGTTCTGACTCCTCTGACACAGTATCTATATAGACAAACCAGACAACAAGAAAGACAGAGATGCGGCTAGGGGAAATTTCAAGAACAAAAACATGTGAGGAGAAATGAGGAAAAGGAGAGAATGAAAGAAAGAAAAGAAAGAGAGAGAGAGAAATGAAGGGATTGGAAATGGGAGGTGTAAAAAGGAAGGAGACTTAGGAATCAACCTTTGATATATTTTATAATTATTCCTCCTATTATTATAATTGAATTACACGTTTCTGCTTTCGTTTTCAGCTTGGGTTTTTGGAGATGGAAAAGTGAGTTTTGTGGGGCTGAAATAGCCAACCACCATATGAGCGCACATGGTTCCATCTTCCCACTTGGATTGTGGGGGCCTCTCTCTTTTATCTCACTCATTTTGCTCTAATCTCCTATATTTTTTTCTGTTGCGAGTCTTTTTTTTCTCTGAGTAATTAAACTTTGAATGCCTTATTTTTGCTTATGTTGGAATATTGTTGGTATGTTATCATCATTTCCCCCAAGTTTTTCTCCTTTTTTTCCTTATCAATTCGGAGAAATACTGATAGAATGACAGTGAAGGGGGGTGATTGATCGATGGTTTGGTGAATACGGTGGCAGCATCAGTCGACATGGAGTGATGTACTGAGGGTGGCGATGTCGGCACCAAGGGCCAAATCACACAGACTAGACGGAAAGGGTCATGTGATCATTAGTTTCTTCACGATATATATCCATTACTCGATCGTATGAAAACTAAAATTTGTCCTAATTAACTATCCCATTCAACCCACTGAAAAGTTTTTCCATCAGAAAGTTGTTGACCACTCGATGAACGGTTTTAATTTTGTTGTTAATTACAGTATGCTCTTGTTGATTTTCAAATGAGAAAATATACCACATTCATTCAAAAGGGTATAATTTTTTTTTCATAAGAATCATGTCATTTTTATTTTGATTTCTGCTGTTGCTTCTACTATTTTTATTTTTGTAGGTTAGTATAATTTTTAAAATGATGATAAAATATTTACCATTCTCGACTTCTGTCTATCAGAGATGTAATATTTCTTTTTTTTTTTTTTCATTGTACCAATTAAGAAGCAGTACAACTATACTGCACTGGGGACAGAAAAAGTAAACAGAAGTTACAGAACTGCTAACTGCTAATGAAAGTTCCGAGGGAATGGCAACAGTTTTACTAATGTTTTTCTAATGTTGTTCCCTTATTTTCTTTTTTTGGTTGGATACCCATTTCTTAACATAGGGGGGCCTTCCTTGTTTCAGTAGTACAAACTACAAAGAGCAGCAAAGCCTTGTCAGATACTCAAATTGGCATTTCCCTGCAAAGAAACTTAAAGTGAAGCTTCAGAGTCTATTTCAAATGGAATAGATCGATCTTGGATCCTAATTTCTATAACATTTCAGAAACACAAAGATATATATCAGAATCAGATAGTTGAATGTGAAGTCTTCTCCTTGATATATATATATATATATATTTATACACATATTATATGTATGTATGTATGTATGTATGTATACAGTATATATATACCTGAAGGCAACTTTGGTGATATCTTTTGTTAAGGTACAATACTTTTTTAAACAATAATATTGAAGATTCCGAAGGGCATGAGAGAAGAATAAGATCTCTAGCTATAGTCCCCCCTCCGCCCCTCAGTACCCTCCCACCTTTCTCTAGTATTTGCCCTTTTCTTCTTCCTTTGTCTCCTCCTGCTGATCAGCCTGTCATGAAAAGAACAATGTTACACCTGAAACAAGCACATCCTGGAACTTTCTTGATGACGACTAATTAGAAGAATGTTGTAACTTAATATATCCGAAATCTATTTTCATTAAATAAGAAAGAGGGCATGGCTTTTCTGATCTTATAAGTTGAGAGAATCAAGCATTAAGCAAAGTGAAATTCTCTCAATCTAAAGATATATATATATATATATGTTTATATATGTCCATTGATGAGGAGGAGTTATGGATCAAGGTTTTCCCTGGACCACAATCAAGTGGGCGCATGTGTGAAGAAAGTGACAACTGGTTTTGCTTGATGACAACTTGGAACTGATTGTAACCTTCCAGTTTTCATCAAGTTTTTGCTTTCATTATATCATCTCCTTTTAATTTCATATATATCGTTAACCTTACTCCAAAGTAAGTTGCTAATTAAAGGTGAGGATGAGAGAGAGAGAGAACTCGGCGTACATGCGCCGCCACGCCTTGGGTTTCCGCAAAACCGCAAAGGAGAAGGCCAGAGGATAAGGACCAGTGGCTTTGTAGCCGGAGGGCTGGTGGCTTGCTGATTTTTTTTCCCTAGGGTTAGGGTTTGGTTCACCTCCCAAACAAAGAGTGGGTGACGGGTGGGTAGGCAATTGGACTGGTCTAACTGCTAGGATTTCAAGTCACGAGAGATGATAAATTAAAAGGAGGAAAGAGAAAGCAAACTAACGACTTTGATGTGATGTGATTTCTTTTCGTTTTTGCATTAAAAAAAAGAAAGAAAGAAAGGAAGAAAGATTGAGAAGCAAATTTCCAATGCGGTTGACAAAACTAATGGTGACAGAATCATTTGGTTTGCCATCATGTTTTGTTCTTTCACTTCAAATTCAAACAATGCGAAAACTATTTAAATAACAAAGTTCGAAGTTTCAATTCTAGTAGCTTAATCGGTCGATGAATGAATATTCTTTAAACTCACTACTACTATTATTTTCATCATATGTAATTAATTAAAAGGAACATAAATAATTAAATTGACCGGAAAAATAGCAAAATGACACACATGCAAATGGATCAAAATGCAGGCTGATCAGATGGATGAAGCCTGCAGGGGGGAGATTTTTTTTCTTTTGTTTTGTGGGTAGCCTTCAAATGGTAAAAGAAGAAGAACATGGTGGGGCTGGGTTTGCCTATAGTTTGATATGCATCAAAGCTTTAGAATTAGACTCTTTAACCACCTCATAATTATGCTTTGTTTGAGATAAGCAGCATCCACATGCATGTCTGCTTTGCTTCCCTTTTTCTTTTGTTTAGGACCACTATTTTTGGCTTATGACTCCAAAATAGGTGTCATTCTAATATTAAAACTCTTTAACCAGTTACCCTTGTTTTGCTTTATCACATTCATTTTATCTAGTAAGTGTTCATTATCTAAAAAGTTTGTGTGTAATATATATAATACCAAAGACTTAAATTGGATGAATTACGCAGTCTTAGCAAAGACTGGGTCCAGCTTATCAAAATCCCGATGGCTACACATGTATATATTTCACTATTTCAATAGCTTAGTCGTGTTTATTTTATGCTTGAGATTATCAAGAATTAAATTTTGATCATTAAAATTAAAAATTCAATACTCTTAATAAATTACACCACTATAAGCAACAATCTACATTGTTAATTTATTTTACATTTATTTGTTCAACACTATATGTTTGGGTGGAGGAAATGATCTGGCTTGTAATTTGTAAATAAACCAAAAGTCAAGGACAAGTAATTTAAAAAAATAAAGTTGAAGACAAATAATTTGTGTCTATTCAAACACAAAAATTGAGACAATATATAAATGGTGTCCACTTTAGCCATCTTCTCAATCCTAATGGAAGGTCAAATTTTATTAGCTTCCAAGTTTTTGGTTGGTTTAATCACCAAAAAGTGCTTACTAACTTAAACTATAGTTAATTACTAATATAAACTTGTCCATGGAATCACATGAGCTCAGGGTCTAAAGCTACTTTGAGAAATTTGGTAGGGGACTGCTGTTGTCTTCCTCACTTCATTTGGTGTGGTGTCCGTGGAGCGAAAATTGACGAGTCGTTTCCAGCTGCATTTTTGTGGACCATGTGGCGATGCCCCAGCTTTGAGGGTTTTGAATAGGCCAGTCCAGAGCTCAGGAGTCTGGCATGAAAAATCAGATGGAGTCGATCAGCTCCGCTCATCTGTCCTTTTAAGTCATGATTTTCTTCACAATCACATGTCTCCGTTGTGCCTAAGGTTACATGTTCGATGAGCAGAGAACATGAGGAAAAAGTGGAAAGAGATGGCATTGCCTTACAAATTACATTCACTTTAGAGCAGAAGACATAAGATACAGATAGTAGAAGAGCAAAAAGATGAAAAAAAACGGAAATATGCTATTCACATATGCATTTGCTTTTGCAAAATTTACTTGAAAACCCCGATTTCTTTAATTTCGTGCAACAATCTTAGCAATCAAATTTAATACAAAACGAGAGTGTGTATGAAGAGAAAAAAAAAGAAGAAGAAGAAGAAGAAACAGAGTTTAAGCTCCCACCTATACATTCCTGTTCTACTCTACTGATGACTCCTATGTTGAGTCGTCAATTGTTGAATTTGAAACCGTCTCCAGTTGGCTTCCATTTTCATTATCAGAAGTTGCAGATGGTTTCTCTTCAACGGGTTGTTTCAAGAACCAGTACATGATACTTGCAGTCAACGTGAGGATGATCTTTTGATTTACGTGAAATGATGTCCCCGTCATGTTATTAGAAAGGAAAATCAAGTTCCATATTGCATTATGGGATGGAGTGACTGGTTCAAGTTTCTTGGTAATGGGAGACGAATCCTCCCACCAAAGAAAAAGCAGGGATAAGAAAGGAGAGAATTCAACAGCTTATTGCAGGGGATATTCAAAGGTCAAATGTATCCATTTATAGCGTCAACTTTCAGTTACTCCTCATGTATTATTCTATTTGTGCATGTATGCACGCAATTTCTTTAAGTATCTGGCTTTATCACCATTTCCCTCGGAAATATAATGGAAAACCATAATGCGAACAAAGAAATCCATTCAAATCCCATGACTCTACCAAATGTGTTTCCTTTAGAAAAATAAGAGGAAAAAGTCGCATCTAAGGGAAAAAGATGCCTCAGTTATGTCTTCAGGAAGCCAAAATATTGAGCACTCAAGCTTCCTCGCAATACTAATGATGTAGGTGGCATTCATCTTTTTCAGCTCATCTGCAATGCTCCCAAGATGGAAGGAAAGGGGATAAAATTACTAGGTTCTATCAAAGAATGAGTATAATTTATGCAGGATGTACATACTTCAAGAAGGTAAAATAACGCTTCTAAGGGATAATGGGACTTTATAATTTAGCTAGTTTCATTGAACTAATCTGGAATTACAGGCTTTGTTGAGTGTTGAATATAAGTTGCTTGATGTTGAAAATATCAAAACCAAGTAGCATCAATAGAAGCATGGCACAGTTAGTATGATTGATTTTGTAA